ACCATTCTTTGTACACTCTAGAAATGGTTGTGCGTGAAAATCCCAGTAACTGAGCAGATTGTGAAATACTCAGACCGGCCCGTCTGGCACCAACAACCATGCCACGCTCAAAATTGCATAAATCACCTTTCTTTCCCATTCTGACATTCAGTTTGGAGTTCAGGAGATTGTCTTGACCAGGACCACTCCCCTAAATGCATTGAAGCAACTGCCATGTGATTAGTTGATTAGATAATTGCATTAATGAGAAATTGAACGGGTGTTCCTAATAATCCTTTAAGTGAGTGTATGTTTGCAAACAAAAGAATAAAGCAATGATTTTTGTTATAAAACCAATGAATTTGAAATATTTTTACTGAATTAAGCAAGTATCCCAAGACATTCTGTGAGCGCTGCAAGTCATTTGATACAATGTACTGTAATTTGTACTGCTAACATATACTGTACAGAGATGCACATGTCTCACAAGCACAACATTTTCAAGCTAGTTGAAAACAAATCACCTCATTACCTTGAGACAAGATGATGCAAATAGAGCAGATGAAAAAAAAACAATGAATCAAAGCACAGAGAAGTTATGTAACCCATTTTCATTCAGTCATTAGATATATTTAGAGGAAAAAATACAAAAAAGAAATCTTGATCATTGTCGTTCTGCTATGTAGGCTGAGTTAGACATATGTTTCAAATACAAGACCAGTCTGCTTTTCTGTGGGGAAAACACACAGTGTTTTCTAATTAAGTTCATTTAGCAATCCAGTGCAATCCCAATGTAATCTTCCATCCATCTTCTACCCACTTATTCTGGTCCAGGTCATGGGGCCTGTCTCTAAAGGCTTTCTTCTCTCACACCTTTGGCACCTCATGCCAGCCATTGCACCTGGGGGCTTAAAGAGAGTGTAAAGGGTGTACGCGTCCTTCCCCTCCACCCGCCATTCTGCCATCCAGTCGTATAAACAGATACGGTGTGAAATCTGAAATGCTAGGCTGGGGTACACCCTGGACATGATGCCAGTCCATCACAGGGCATAGGGCTGGGGTACACCCTCAATGGGAAGCCAGTCCATCACAGGGCATAGGGCTGGGGTACATCCTGAATGGGATGCCAGTCCATCACAGGGCATAGGGCTGGG